TAAGAGGGAGAAATTCTATGTGAGCATTGTATTTATAATAAAATTAGACAGGATTTACAGTAAAATTAGATATTGTTTGAAATTTATATGGAATCAATTGAGACATTATTTTAGATTTAACGCACTTCATTTTAATTACGGTTTTAAAATGTATTTATTGTAATTAATCTGGTCATGAATGCATTATTGCACCTAGCTAAACAAACTTAACAATAGAAACGTCCAACATAACGTATTAAATGTCAATATAATTCATTTAGTGGTATAAATGTAACATAAACAAACGAAACGTCCAAAAAATTAGATTTTATTTATGTGAGCACTATTTACACTAATAGTATGAAAATTAAAATTTAAATCAAATATTAAATAATATATTTAATGGGAGTGCTAAATGGCCCAAAAGAAAAAGAAAAAGAGTAAAAGCCTTTTTTATATATATGATTTTTTTGAATAATCTTAATATTCTTTGCAGTTATTATTATTTTAATAAATGTGTATTAAAAAAAATACACAGGATTTATTAATTTAGTATTCAGTAGCATATATCTACCCAAGAAAGAAAACATAGAGTGAAAACCTTATGATTTTTGAATAATCATAATCTTCTTTTAGTTATTTTAATTTTAATAAATGTGTATTAAAAAAGTACAAAAGATATAGTTTAGTAGTCAGATTTAGCGTATGTCTACCGGAGAAATAAAACATAGACTAAAACTACTAAAAATGAAACAATATTTTAGACAAAAGAAAAAGAGTAAAACCCTCTCCTTTTTGAATAATCAAAATATTGTTTGTAATTATTTTTATATTAATAAATGTGTATTAAAAAATACACGTGAGATATGAATTTAGTACTCATATTTAGTATATGTTTTACCCAAAAAAGAAAACATAGAGTGAAACTACTAAATAAAGAAATTGTTTAAACAATTTAGAGCTTTAGATTAGCATTAATGTTTCTATTTTTTTGTTTTTTTAAATCAAATGAATGAATTTAATGCATAAAAATTAGAAAAGAAAATTGACACATGTCGAAAAAATAGAGTGCCAAATGGCAATTTCTCAAAGCTTGTTTAAAAAAAACCTTGTCATATTATATAAGATATCCGTCATTATCATCTTTTAGCTGTCTTTTGTCTTTATCTTTTCCAACAAACACTTAAAATACTAAACACGAGTTTGCCGGAGACCTTATTAATATTTGTTTTCTGTAAAATATCTCAAATAATCAAATCTCTCTAACACAATGATACAGCTCACGTACGTTCTCCTAATTAAATTCGTGCTGGTCAGTACCACACTATAAAAAATAAAAATGATTGTTACATTACCAAGTAATTCTGAATTTGAATCTGTTTGGATGGACTGGCATGAGTAAGGATGCTCTTTGACGTTTCGCGATTTCCATCTCTTGTGTGTTTTTGTAGTTTAATTAATAAAACACTTCATCTTTAAGAACTATAATTTTTTTTTTAAAAGCCAAAAATTTACCAATCACAATTTTATGACTTAAATTTTTTAAAAAGTTTTTAAAGTCTAACTAGCTATCAGAGCCGATCATGACTAGCTAGCCAAGCTTAGACTTGTGGCCGATCAAATGTTTATAATCGACCGTCATTTTCTGGAAAAATCATTATGGGAGGAGGTATCTGGTTCAACCCTAGCAAGAGTCATTTGTAAGTTCAAATTTATATTTGAATAAATTAATAATAGGCTGGCAAAAACAAATCTTGCTTGGGATCACAAAATTCTCCGAATTGGCTCTGCTAGCCATAACGACTATATATAGATGCTTAGTTCCGAGATGATCACTAGTATAGTTTTATTAGGTTTTTGGTCAGTGGTCTACTGAATACTAAGACTCAAATTCCTTGCGATGTTGCGGGTAAAAATATTTAAAATTTTTTTTAAAAAAACATATCAAACGAAAAGTCATAATAAATTAATCCAACTTTAAAAAACCATTTTAACAATAAATTAAATATATTTTACGAGTTTATTTTATTGTTGCTCACTTATTATAATATATGGTATTTAATTTATTTAGTAATTACTACACATGAAAAGATATAATCGATTAGTGCGAATTAAGAGAATTTTTCAAACTCTTAGGTAGTCTTGGGCGTTCGGATATCCAATTAATTTTTGTTCGGTTCCATTAGGTTTCGAGTCTTTCGATTCTAGAATTTAGGATCTAGTCGGGTATTTTAAATTTTGATTCGGTTCAAGTTCTTTTGGTTAAAAATTTATTATCTATTGGGGTATTTTATTTAGGATTTTTGGATATTTCGGTTATTTTGTTTGGTATTTTCTGGTATTTTGGATATCTTAGTAATTTTTGAGTATTTTTATATAATTGCGGGTATTTTTGATTATTCTGTCTATAAATATCTAATATTTTATAATATATAATAATATTTCGGATATCCAAAATATTCTTGTTCGATATCGGTTCGATTCCGGTTTTTTTTGTTTTACAATTTAAGATCCATTCGGGTATATTTAAATTAATGTTTCGATTTGGTTCGGTTCTTTTTGCTTCGGTTCCAGATCAATACATTCGGTTCGGTTAATTAGCACATATTTTTGGTCAATGGTACTACTCAATATTTACTTATTTTATTTATGTGGTATTTGAATTAGTAATTGTTGCACATGATTATTTACAAATTAAATTTTTTACTTTTTAGATGAAGAGACTATTTCAAACTCTAGTAGAGGATAAAGGAGGTTATTTTATTGTTGCTCACTTATTATAATATATAATAATTTATATTAGTAATTACTGCACATGAAAAGATATGTTAGGTTAGTGCGAATTAAGTATTTAAATACTCTCCTTATGGACGGGAAAAAATAGAGGATCCTCTCTTAATTTATTGGCTCGACAAGTTCGGACGGATAAATTGGCTCAACAAGTTCGTACCGAACCGATTCACATCACTTATGTAAATAACATTCCGCAAGATTGGCTCTTTTGAGCGTTTAATTTAAGCTGTTGAAAAAAAAAAAGACTCTTTCATACTTTTAGGTTAGTCTTCGGCGTTCGGGTATCTAATTGTTGTCGTTTGAGATTGTAATCGTTAAACCAATCAGTTTTCATTTCGGCTTAACAATTACAATCTCATTTGTCTCTTATTTATACATAAAGATGAAACTCTAATTGGAGAAGACACATGTCACAGATCAAGATGATTCTGATGAATCTAAGGTCAGGAATCGATTTGACAGCTGCAGATTGAATGTTTTATCCGTACGAGCTTCAGTCCCAACAACTTGATTTTGAATTCTGTCATGTTTTGCAATTGTTGCAGGTGACGTTGTAGAACATTGAGAACGCTGAGCCCAAATGGGCTTTATGGGCTTAGTCTTTATAAACTTGTGGTCCATAAACTTCTTTTTCTTTTAATCCAAGCCCAGAAGCGACATCGTTTTGTTCTGTTGTCGTGAATTGCTCTGTATTGCATGATAACACCGACCAATCCTCAAAAAAGTTTATATGAAAAATAATAATCAAAGAACGAGGAAGTAAATGTCTTCTCCTTACAAAAACTTTAGCACATCACTTTTACATAGCAAGCCAATCCAAAAAAGAAAAAAGAATACAAAAAACAACAAAACCAATATTTTTCAAACCGGACATAACCGGCAACTGTCCTAAGATGCAATGCAAGGGAATAGAGATTTGGTTGGGACAACCTTAGGATAGGAATTGCAATAAGTGGTTAGTTGACCTTAAGAACAAGACCAAACTTCTCTTCAACTTCAAATCTATTTCCTCTAGGAGCTTCCCAATCAAAAGAATGGAGAAGTGAAGCTAAAAAGTATAGAAACATCCTCTCCGCCATGTTAATCGCTGCACAAATCCTTCTACCAAAGCCAAACGGTAAATACTAATAAGTTATAATCATTCTCAATGAAATCAGTTTAAGAAACCTCTCAGGCTTAAACTCATTTGGATCCTCACAAATCTTAGGATCTCTATGATCAGCCCAAACATTGATGATGAAAATCTTTGAATATTTCGGAACCGTGTATCACGCAACAACCGAGGTTTTACTATTCTTGTGTAGGATAAAGCCTAAGCGTCTCTTTCATAATAGCTTGCAAGTAAAGTAACTTAGGACTATGAGATTATTTAACGAATTTATCTTTACCAACAACTTGATTAAGCTTTTGCTGAACACTCTTCAACACTTCTGGTCTACTCAAAAATCAAAACCTCAACGATAGCTATATCTTTCTCATCATAATCTTTAACTCTCAAGAAATACTGAAGAAAATCTTATTTTTATTCACTCTTTTACCCAACCATTTCCACATGATTCTCCAACACCCCATCGAGCAACCGATCGAGTTTTTCGACATCACATTTTCTTAGTTCGTCCTTGGAAATCAAACATCGTGAAAGCCAGGAAGAAATCATAATAGTTTTGAATCCCTTCGATATCGGAAATATCATAAATTAGTTTCTTGAGCTCGTTTCCTAGACTCCTTCAACTGTCGCACCCAAACAGCACAGGAGTCACGACATTAAAGATCGAAAAAAATATTTGTTCTCCAAGGTTCACCTTGGATGGAGCCATATCCGTCATATAAACAACGGTCCTCTGGTTTCTTTACGACAAATCAAGTAAGAAGCTTTGAGAGATAGAGTAGTAAACATCTTCATGAAACATAGTTTTCTTAGCCTACGCCAATGTGCACCGTAAGGAGACCGAAGAATGTAGGTGGACCTGGAGGTATCTCTGGTTAGGATCTTGATTAGAGTTTTGATTGAATCATTTTGCAGATGAAAATTGCTGCTAAGAGTATAAAACAGAGGTGTACGAATCTTAAGAGAAACTGAATTTAGACATTGACGCCATTAGACTCGTGAAATTAACGTCAGATTGGATTCTTAGAAGAAATAGAAAACCAACATTGTAGATATTTTAAAGATAAGCCAAAATAGTTAATCAAAGAACATAGTTTTGAAAGGTTGAACTCATGAAAATAATCACAGATTCTGCTTATTTTTCCTTTCTTTTTGCTTTCATGTAATTAAAAGGACACAAGCTCAATTCTTCCGGTATCATTCATATGATCTCAGAAAGCAAAAACTACTCTTCCCTTCGTATCTCAAAAAAGTTTTTCTGAATTTTTTTATCTCTACTTTTCCTCGGGATTCTGCTGTCTGGACCGGCGTGCGCAATCCTGGAAACTCTTAACGAAACCGCTACATTTCAGTGGATCACCGATGTTCTCCTTGTAGCATTTCATCCACGCTTCGTGATATGACGAACAAGGCATTGGTTTAGGTTCTGGGATCTTGAACTCTTTCTCCCTAAGATCCTTAGCTCTCTCTGTCACTTCATGAACAATGTTCTTCTCTTGTAACTCCAGCTTCTCAAGAACCTTCTCACTCTCTTTCACAACGGATTTTATCGATTCCAGCTCTGTGCTTGCCGCTGCTTGTGGTGGTATCGGGAAGAAAAACGGTGGCTGCATCGGTAATTCTGCCACTGGATTAGGTTTCTTCTCTGCATCTTGGTTTGTTTTCGCTTTGCTCTGTGGTGAGACTTTGGGTTTGGTTTTCTTTGCCTTCCTCTTCGGTTGTTCGTTATCTTCAGCTAGCTGATTAATCAGCTTATTACTGATATGAATCGAGAAATCGCCCATATTACCGAGTTCGAAAAAACCTGAAAGATGAAATCCACATCAAGAAATACATCCACAAAACTTAGTAAACAACAGTATATCCTCAAATCTAATGCGAGTCACAATGTAAGAACAAGCACAAAAATAATTTCACAACAAAGCTTCCTCACATCAACGATTCACACAATAGATTTTGAAATTCTCTGCTTATAGTATTTATTTCAGGATCTGCAATTCGACGAATAAACATAGAAATAGATCTTAAGCTTGAAAGTAAGTAAGATGATAGATACTTCCATGAGAATGCTTCAGATTCTAGATGAGTACAGATACTAAACCTAGAATCAGCATTGACCACATCGATCCATACAAAATCGAACGAGTAATTCTTTGAAATCGATATCAGAAAAATTCTTCAGAACAAGGAAATTTAAAACCCTAGAATCTAACAACTAGCATCAAAAATCGACGCGAGAAAACAGAAATTTAACATTGAAGAAATAACATTGAAGATGGTGAAGAGAATCAATACCTGGTAGGAGAAGATCAAAGAAGGAGCCTGTGAACGGCGATTCTCTCTTCGTCAGAAAAAACTTGTTACAGCTGCAAAAAAAAATGGAGAAGACGAGAAAGATACTGCGACGCTCTTCTTCCCAAAGGGTATGGGCTTAGTTTTTTTGACAAATATACTATCTTTAGCCCAAATTTTCTTATTGGGCTTATAAGGCCTTTATGGCTTTATTACATTTCTGTACATATAAACAATAGTTCATTGGGCTACCTTATTTTCCCTCTAGTGTTTTTAATTTTTTTATAAATAAATATTTAATAGTTTTTTCATGCATTACATAAACTTTTTTTTTTGTACATTACATAAATTTGAACACAGCATAATTACTCGTTTTTTTTTTTTTTTGGTAAAAGGTAGCATAATAACTCGTTCATTGCCATAATTATATCAGGCTAATTACACATGTTTTACAGTATTATTAAAAAAAAATGAACACATTTGATAAAAGTCATTTATAGCTAAACTTACACAAGTCACTCACCCATGAAGTGGGAAATAGTAGAACATAAATTTGATCTAATTATGTATATATATACGTACGTGTCAAATAGGTGTTCGTCGTTATTATTTTTTCGTATAGACAACGTGCAAAGATATATTACTATAAGATAGCTTATATTGTAATTAGTCACACGTGTATAAACGTAAGACTATATACGTACCAAAATCCAAAATGCATGCTTACTTTTTGCGGTATTGTCCACGGCAACGCCTAAACTCCGACAATTTCAATAACCTTTGACGATGTTAGACTTCGAACACTATTTTTTATATTGTTTTCATTGAAAACTCTTTACTATAATAAGTTTTTTTCATCAGTAGTATTATTATGTTATTGTGTGTTCATTATTCAGTTAATTTTAGGATCAACTGTTTAACGGTAAATATATTCTCTTATATTCACAATAATATATTCCTTTCCTAAGAATTAGGATTCACAAAATTAAATTTACCATTTATTCAATGGCTTACACTAAGTCTGAAGCATGTACTGTAATTCTAATAATATGCATATATACGTTCCTATCTAATAAGTACTACATTTGTTTCATCAAAACATATTCTAATCGCATTTAAACTTTAATTTTGGTGTTGAAAAACTAATGGTCGTACTCGTGTACATGCGCAGGTATGTATCCTATCATTTCACATTAGTTCCAAAGTCATTTTCAGTTTTCACCAACCAATTAATCTATAGGTTTTCCAACACTCCATCAGTTTTCGTGAAATGATATTAAACAACTATATATGTATAAGAACCTTAACTAGCCTATCAAAAAAAGAACCTTAACTATGATTTACTTTTGAAAAAAAACATATTTTACTTCACTTTTTTTCTTCACCAAAATGATTGATTACCTCTAATATATATACATTTCTCTAGAAAGAAATATTTCCATCGACATTAAAAATTTTATGAAATATATATATATATATATATATATATATATATATATATATATATATATACGATTTCTAGTTTATCCACCAAAATGTTTAATCATCTCACACCATTTGTTTATTCACGCGTGTTATGTATAAATATGTTATACTTTTGATTATTTTATACGTGAAAATGAACCATGCATATATATCATTGGTAGGTATACTGTATACATATTATATTGATTCTCATAAGAAAGGTACAAACTTAATTTCTTAGAAATTGTTGAAATTTCCCCATCACACATACCATCTATTTTATGAACTGTATTCTGGATAATTACTTTTATATATTATTCGGGTTGATATAGGTAAATCAAATAACATGTGATGCGTATATCTTAGTCGTATATTCGGGTATAGTTAATTTATGCCAAAAGTCTATATAATTTATGAACCTATATAGTGTATGCAAAAGTCTGGCTAATACTCACCATGTTTAAGTATTAATATTGTATTTCGTTTACTTAGTTCTATAGTCTATGACTCTATACATTTTATCTGACGAAAGAACTTTTTTTGTTTTGATCAGGATCGGACCAAAGATTAGAGATGATTTTTGAAAATAAATTCCTAACAAAACATATGATATAGCGTCATTTATATTTGTATATATATAAATTCCTATACTCTTTGGTTTCACTTCTCACCTTAGTGTGGTCAACTGATGATATACATTTATATTTGTATATACGTAACGTAAATTGAAAAATATACTAATATACCAATTTAAAAAAAAAAAAAAAGGTGTGGTGGAGGATGTGAGGAGTTATTGGGGTTTATATATATAGGTGGGTGAGCTTAGGTGCTTAGGTTTTTTGACATAAATCTTCTAATTTGGTATATACTTTCTACTTTCAAAAAGTTTAAGATCGCATATCTCTCTCAAGTTAATATAACAAATATAAATACACTCAAATATTAATTAATGGGGAGGCAGCCTTGTTGTGACAAGCTCATGGTGAAGAAGGGGCCGTGGACGGCGGAGGAAGACAAGAAACTGATAAACTTTATATTGAACAACGGCCATTGTTGCTGGAGGGCTTTGCCGAAGCTGGCCGGACTCCACCGCTGCGGGAAGAGCTGCCGTCTACGGTGGACCAATTATCTCCGACCTGACTTGAAGAGAGGTCTTCTCTCCGACGCCGAGGAACAGCTTGTCATCGACCTTCATGCTCTTCTTGGCAACAGGTTTGAGCTAGTTTTACTTTTAACCATTTTCTTTTATGTGGAAAATTGATCATTTGTCATGTATTCTTATTATATATGTATTAACTAAGCCGTCTTTATTAGTAATCCATTTTTTTTTCCTTTATAAAACATGTATTACGGATATGAATCCAAATATCGACGCAGCGACGATATTATCATAAATAGCGAGGCTATATGCCATATCATATACGAGTTGTTAATTAGGCTTGTATTTACCAAAAAAAAAAATATGGTTAATCTTCTACATATCACATGATAGTCATCATTAATATTATAGTCATATAATCCGAGGTTAAATAATGTTCACATATATTTATATAATTTTTTTACTCTAGTCAACTTTAGGATGTTACTTTGTGAAAAAAAAAAAAAAAAAAAAATACCTATAACATAGATATATGTTGAATATTTGTAAAAAATGTAATTGTGAAGTAGAATTGAAATTTAATCCAAAATATTATAATATAAGATAATGTTCGGATTATATGATTGAAGAGTTTCATCAGAAAACGTTATATATATATATATCTATATCTTAATTCAGTTTCCATTCTTTGAACTAAAGTCTTCTATATTCTTGTTTTACAAAGCTGTGCATTTTATTTCAAATTTGAAATTAACTTCGAGACAAAGTAACGTTCCTGACTTCTAAATAGAATATAGCTTATATTGTCAACTTTCTTGTGTTAAATTCCAAGACACAAGACTTTGACATCTCTACCAACAACTTAAACCATTATTTTTCCAAGGAACCCATATTCAATGTAACTAAACATATTTTTAAAAACAATTTTGTGTATAGATGGTCCAAGATCGCTTCAAGATTACCAGGAAGAACAGACAACGAAATAAAAAATCATTGGAATACTCATATCAAGAAGAAGCTCCTTAGGATGGAAATCGATCCTTCAACCCATCAACCTTTAAACAAAGTATCTACCGACAAAAGGTTTGTCGATAAATTAACTTCATCGAAAGCCGGAAATGTAAAGAGAAGTGATAGTAAAAGCATAGAGATCGATGGGACAACGACAAATACAATAGATGAAACTAGCACGATCACTCATCAAAATAGTTCAAAAGATGATTATGAGTTACTTGGTGATATTATTCATAACTATGAAGATTTATTTAATATTCTATGGACCAACGATGAACCTCCTCTAGTCGATGATGCATCATGGAGTAATAATAACGTCGGTATTGGTGGAACAGCTGCAGTCGCAGCCTCAGACAAGAACAACATTGCTGCCGCGGAAGATTTTCCGACACAGCCATTAAAAGGACAGAATGGCGAAAGTTGGATGTTTTTGGATTATTGCCAAGACTTTGGTGTTCAAGATTTTGGGTTCGAGTGTTACCATGGTTTTGGACAAAGCTCCATGGAGACAGATCACAAGGACTAGCATTTGCAAGGATACATGGCATATACACACATAGACTACGTATATATGTATATATCTGTACGCATTATAGTATTATGAAGTAATGTAAGAAAAATCATGTAAAGCAGTAAAGAAGCACCATGGTTTTCACAATTTAGCTAGGGTAACAGAAAAAGTATCACTAGGAGTTATATAAAGTTAAGTCAGAATTATCGACTTATTTAACGTGGACACAAGAAAGACTCGGTGTGTATATTGTTATCATTAAATAAATAAAAAATCGATATTGAAATTTATGTAAAAGAGTTGCAATGGACATCTACATCACATCTTGGTGGAATCAAATGTCACAAACAATAATTTTGTTTTATATCCAATTGCAATTTGAAGCAATTTCTCTTTGTGGAAATCACACATGTGAAATATATAACTTTGAGTTACAACCAATATGAACCAGACAAATATCTCATATTAAATAGTTTAAATAATTGTATTATAACTTTGTAAAAATATCTCTATCTATATTTCTTAACGCTTATTCAAGAGAACATTTATATATTTCTCTGTGGAAATCACACATGTGATATATATATAATTTTCAGTTACAAAATAAATTTTAAGAAATCGGTAAACAAGTCACAGTTTCGTAAATAGTTTATTATTTGAATCTACCAAAATCAAAAAATGGCGACAATAGTTTTTCTATTGATAACATAGAGGATTTGAACAAGCTAATGTATTTGCATGGCGCGTTGTATGAATCAATGAGGCTTTACCCACCTATTCCATACCAGCGCAAGTCTCCTATAAAACAAGATGTTCTCCCAAGAGTGGGTATAAAGTCAAAGCAAAGTCTCATATAATCATTTACAATATGAGACTTTTAAGACCAAGTCACAACTTCAAGTTTTTAATATGAGACCAACACTTGGTCTTAAAAACTTGGTATGTAAATGATTTGATGAAATGCGTATATCTATGTCTTAGTTTTATGTATTGCTGAAATGTCCCTTTTCTTATTAAGGTTATTATAATATATAAAAGGCTTATTTTCATAAAATATCAAGTTTTTTTTTTTTTTTTGCACAAAAAATATCAAGTTTAATACGTTTCTCAATAACTTCTAATAAAGATTTTAGATACATCCCCTATAGATTTATACAAGACATCTAATTAACCTCTATAATGTTATATCATCTACAAACTAAAACTAACTTTCAAGAATTTTGAAGTGCACGATCACATTTCACATATACTATTACATTGTATAAATTTATAAAATAAAATAAGAATACCTTAAGTTGTAATAAAGAAAATTGACATTAAAGGCAACAGCAACAATATTTTTCAAACTTCTAAATGTAAAAAAACAAAAGTCAAAATAAAACGCCATGGAATCGAACCAAACAAAATTCTCACATCATATATGGATAGGGATCGTGATCAAGACTATAAAATAAAGCACTCGAGTGGTTGAAAAAGTATAATTCAATTTTAATAAAACATCGCAGCGATCGTGATCAAGACGATGCCGACCAAGCCTGTTCCCGCGAGTTTGCTTGCAGCATCCTTGTCAGATTTGGGTGGTCCTAGAAATGACAAATCAATTATTTTTAGTAAAACTTTATTCAACTTAAGAAAATTTTTATACAATCTCACCCTTCGATTTTAATTAAAAAAAAATTGCTTAACACTTTCCTCATAATATACTACGATACATTTCATCTAATCTATAATTAACATTACGCCTGGACAAAATAATCGAACCGAAAGAATCGAACCAGAACCGAAGCAAAAAAGAATCGAACCGTAACCGAACCGAAATTTTAAAATACTCAAATGGATCCTAAATTTTAAAACCGAAAAAACCGGAACCGGAACCGAACCGAACCAAAATATTTCGGGTACCTGAAAATACCCGAAATATGAGTTTATATCTAAAAGTATTAGTTATTTTTAGATCGAATAATCAAAAACACCCGAAATACCAACAAATATTTAGAAAATATATCAAATAATACTTAAAATATAAAAAAATACTCGAAAATATCCAAAATACCCAAAAATATTCGAAAGAAAATATCCGAATATATCTTAAACTTCAGAACCGGAACCGGAACCGGAACCAAACCAAAATTGTTTGGTTCCTATATAAATCCTAAACTCTACAACCGAAAGAACCGGAACCGAACCAGAACCGAACAGATACCCGAACGTCCAGACCTAATTAACATATTAGAATATAATTGTTCCTTACCTGGAGCAGGTGCTGCCGTATGCGGCAAAGGAGCTTGGGCTACCAATACAAAAGAAAAAAATAAAATTAAATTCACATTACCAAGTATGACCTGGTTACAAAATATATCCACAATATGTGTTTTATGCAGTAAGTTATTCATAAATTAAAACTAGCAGCAAAAATAATGTGGTGGCAAAACTGCAAATAAATGATATATTATTTTACATATGATTTGAAAAAATAATCTTATATCATGTAAAATAGCGTATTGTCTAATAACATATTATGAGATTTGGCTTAAAAGGGATAAAACACATATTATATATAAAAAAAAACACATGCGATAAATGAATCAACTTATATACAAATTTTTCATTTAAAGTTTTTGCAAATTAAGAGGTAGAATTTGGCTATCTAATGCATATGCTCTATAAAATTTGTAACCAAAACGTTACCGGTTTTTTCGGAACACATGTTGGGATCGGCGGTGATTCCACAAGTTTGGGAAAGAAGAGCATTGAAAGCGGTGACATTGAAAGGGATCAACAACGTTGGGCTTTTGATAAGTCCGCAAAGACAAGGTAGCTGAGTTTTCACCGCAGTCTCTAAGGCGGTGCAGCATTCTGGCAACGGTGGTCCTCCCTGAGTAATTGCCGGAAGACAAACAGCCAAACCAGCCGCGCAGTTCATAACTTTGTTGACTGAAGGACTAGGAGCCAGTGGTCCGTGTCCTGATACAGTCATAGCTGCCATCAGCAATGTGGCTAGGAGGAAGCTCACGGTGGTGGTTTGAGCCATTATCTTAATCGTGGGAGGATCGTTTTCTTTTGGTTTAGGTGCTTCATTAATTAGTATATATACACAATACAACCGGGTGAAAGTTATTGACTTAGTGTTAGTTGTTATGTCACATTGTGTGATATATTGTATACCCCTAATTGGCATAGTTTATTCGTGGACTTCTGTAACAGCAAGATATATTCTGTTCCAAATTTGAAACAGAATATTTATATCTGGCATTATAATATAGTATGTATTTCCAATTGAATAATCATTATAATTCACGGACATTTTATTAGGAGCTAAGGGTAATTGTTCAATCTGAAATTTTGTTTGAGTTTTTCAGTTTTTTTTTTAAAAGAGTAAACTAAATTAAAAAGTTAACCTCATGGATAGATTTGGTATTGTATAGGTATTGGTTTGAATTAAGATTTTAAACAAAAACAATTTTAGTTTCTTTGTTCAGGTTTGGTATGTTATAATTTTGTTTTCCTCCAAATAAGATTCAGTTTAAGTTCTTCAAATATATGTATGTGAACATCTCATTCGTTTTTTTAAAACCATTCGATTACTTGAATCCAACATCGTAATACTTGATCTCATGAATACAGAAAATATATAGTTTAAACTAGGTCTATCCTTGACAGCGATACATGCATTTCATTCAAATCAAAAATTTAACTGCAACTTGATCAAATGGAGAAAAGAAAGGATGCAGCAAAGAAGATGGTTGACAATATGAATTCCCCTGAAAAATATCGAAAGAATATAATTGTGATGCACGTCAGAATTCGAATTAGAATTAGTACTCAATTATTAAAAGTTTTAATTTTTTTTTTTTTTAAAAGTTTTAATTTAAAACCTATGTTCAAAGTGGTTCATACGGTCACTACGATCGTTTACTTCGCCGGCATTCATCAAAATGCTGAATAGTAGTAAAAAGTTATTTTTAAAACATGTAGTTGGTGCGATGCATGAAGAACAAATTGATAAAGGAATGACTATTTCTATATATAATAATCATATATACACAGTAACTATAATTAATTAATACAATAAAACTACTAAGAGTCTCTCCAGCAGTGACACATCAGCTTTTTAAGCTATTGTGGGACTGACACATCATTAAAAATGATACCCAATCAAAACATAACAATTAATACAACTCAGCTCTCCAGCATGCCACATCATCTTTCCAGCTTGCCACATCAGCTATTTATTAAAAAAAATACATTATTTTAAAAAAAACAACCAATCAAATTAAACATATAATAAATTAATACACATACTTATTTTTAATTTTTTTTAATAATGATACATGGATGTCTAATTTGTTAAAAAAAACAAATTCAAATTATAAATAAAATGAATAAACATCAGCTTAAGTTGACACATAAACAAAACAAAATTATTCTTATTATTTAATGGAATTGATTCGAATTATTCTGGATGTCGTTGCTTTGTGGATGGATCGTGGAAAGAAAGTGATAAGTTCTCCGGTACAGGTTGGTTCTGTACATCATCAAACGGAGAGCCGCCAACCATGGGAGCTGCCAACCTCCGTAGAAGTCTATCTCCATTACATACAGAATTCGAGGCTCTTCTCTGGGCGATGAAGTGTATGATTGGTGCAGATAATCAAGAGGTAGCGTTCTTTACAGACTGTTCTGACCTGGTGAAGATGGTGTCTTCTCCAACCGAATGGCCGGCGTTTTCAGTGTACTTGGAGGAATTCCAGAGCGACAAGGAAGAATTCTCATCCTTCTCTTTATCTTTAATTTCTCGTAATGCTAATGTAAAAGCGGATAATCTGGCACGAAAAATTCGTACAGAACCGTTTCATATCACATATGTAAACAACATTCCTCAGGAATAGCTCTTTTGAGTTCTAATTAATTTCGGATGACAAAAAAAAAAAAAAAAAAAAAAAAACTTTATATCTATAGTTTTTTTTACATAACATATTTATATTAAAGACGTTTATAATAAAAAAAAATTACTATATAACTCAACAATCAACATGTTCCGATTCAGTTTACTCATAAATTTTTTGATATAATCACGTCCACCAAAATTATGATTTTGTACTACTAGAATTTGGTTAAATAACTATATTCTTAATTAAGCCACTAATCACAAGATGTATACAATCACTTTTATTATTTTTTTGTCTTACTAGAAGCTGATATTTCATTTTAAAAGTACAATCAATCAAATTAAAATAAATAATACACATCAGCTTTTATTAACATGGACAAAAATTATTAAATAAAATTTATAAAACATCTTAATTGGAAGAAAAGTTCATATTCCTAATTGTAATGATTGTTAAATCACTAGATCATGCAAATATATAAATTTAAATAAGCTTTTCTATTTGTTTTTTTGGTTTGTAAATTATAGTGACTCTATAAACAAAATATTAATGATAGTTGACTATATCAAATAAAAGAGCAATAAAAAAAAGTAACAATGAAAAATATTTGTATTTTTATCTACGTTTTGACGGTGTAATTGTGTTATAAAATAATAGTAAATAGTGTTTCCTTGATTTCTTGCTAACATCGAGATTGTAGGTTTTTGGCTATCAACCCTCAGTTACGAAAATGAGTAAAAAATTTACAAAATTCAATAACATGATTGGAATAATAATTTTATATTAAAATTATGGTACAAAATAAATTATAAGTTATCATTTTAACAAATCATTGTGATTTAAAGGTTAAAAGAATAATTTTAAAAATTGAAAGTCTATGTTAAATATTTTAAGTGTGATTCCAATTATGGTTGTGCACCATGTATATCTTTAATTAAAAGAAAGTAAGGTTCTTGAAATATAATAGTCACTGACTATACGGTATATTCACATTATAAAAGTAATATATAACATGTATTTATTAATGTATGCATATATAATAAAATAAAAACTACAAAAATTTGAGTAAAAGTAAAATACCCAATCCTAGAATCATTTCAAACTTCTACCAATCATACTTATAGTTATATTAAAATAAAGCTAATTTACAAAAAATATCCCGCGGCAGAGCGCGGGTTCTTTTTCTAATAATACTAAAAAGGAGATTAATACTAAAAAGGAGATTATGCAATTGTCAGATTATACCCTTTTTATTTGTCAATATTTACTTATATATTCGCCACGTCAGCAGTAACGTTTCTTTTTTTTGCTAAAAGGTTTTCATATTTATAACTTTTTTGTTTTTTGGATGATACAACAAAACAGGCCTTAGGCCCATCAACAAATGGATGCATATATTAAAGGCAAAAAATTAAAAGACTAAAAAGAAAAAAGGCCCAAGCCCAAAGCAGGGAAACCCTAACCTCCACAGAAGAAGCTGAGATCGGTTGCAAAATTAAGTCAGCCGCTGAGTCTCTGAGCTGTTCCGGCAGAAAAGACGAATCCCGACGTCCGCATTCACCGATTTCGTCGCACGACTCGCAAAAATTTCTTTTGTAGCAAATTTTCCTTTATGGCGGCTCGTTTGAGGATTCTTCAATTTCATCGTTTCTCTCTTCATCTTCGTCTATCACTATGCCCGGCCAAAAACAGAGGATTTACTCGTAAGTTTCCGTTTTCTTTCATAGATTTAGAACCCGATTTTCGAATAGTTCATGTCTTGTAGGGTTTTAGGGTTAATCTTCAGGAGACCAGATCTAATAGAACCGGAAGTGTTCTAGGGTTCGTAAGTTATGCAATAATTAAAGATTAGAATTTTAACGATTATATAGCAAACTTTTAATTAAAAATTAGTAGAATTTTGTAAGATTTTCTTGAAGAACTTATGTAATCTTTAATCTTAGTGTAAGTTTTGGGTTCACATTATGTGAAATTTGTCAGATTTAATAGGACCTGAAAATGTTCTACGATTCTAAAATCATGCATTTTATATTCATCTCTGTTGCATCGTAATGTAATTAGTGGCAAACTACTCCTTCCTTAAAAGTTTACTGTTTTGTTGATCCAAAACTCTTTCATAGGTCAAACGTAGATGTCAAAGGATTTAGTTTCCTTGAGAGCAAGAAACAGAGCAAAGAAGAAGAGAAGCCAAGTTTTGCTGACCTGACATTATGCCTCTTGGAAGTGATAATAGCTCAACTTGACTTAAAGGATAACATTCGTGCATCTGCTGTCTGCAAAACATGGCGTGAAGCTGGTCTATATGTTCGGAAGGTAGACAAGCCTCCTTGGCTTATGTACTTACCTAAACGTGGCAACTTGTTCGAACTATACGATCCATTGCAGCTGAAGATGTACACTTTGAATCTACCCGAGCTTGCCAAATCTATGGTTTGTTACTCAAGAGACGGATGGTTACTAATGCGCAAAACCATTTCAAGTGAAATGTTCTTCTTCAACCCGTTTACTCGTAAGCTCATAAACTTACCAAAGTGTGCGTTATCTTATGATGCCATCGCTTTCTCTTGTGCACCTACATCAGGTACGTGCATATTGCTAGCGTTTAAGCATGTTGCGTTTGGTATCACCGCTACGAGCACTTGCCATCCCGAAGCAACTGAGTGGGTTACTGAGGATTTAAATTTCCATCTTCAATTTGGCAGCGATACACTAAAACACAGCAATGTTGTCTATGCGAAACGTCGCTTCTATTGCCTTGCAGGTCAAGGAAGCTTATATTACTTTGATCCGTCTTCTCGAGAATGGCATTTTATTTATGCGTATAAACAGCCATGTCCTTATATCTCGGGTAGACTTAGTTACCGGTATGAGCGGAAGAAGAAGAGAATTTTCTTGGCTGTGCGGAAAGGAGTGTTCTTTAAGATATATACATGCGGTGGTGAGAAGCCGATTGTGTATAAATTAGAAGATGACGAATGGGAGGAGATCAATAGTACTACGCTTGATGGCTTGACAATATTTACGGGTCTCCATTCCTCTGAGATGAGAGTTAATCTCCCATGGATGAGGAATAGTATTTACTTCCCGAGGCTTCGTTATAATGTCAAGCGTTGTGTATCATATTCTTTTGATGAAGAGAGGTATTATCCGCGTAAGCAGTGGCAAGAACAGGAGGATTTATGTCCTCTGGAGAATCTTTGGATTAGGCCACCGAAGAAAGCTTTAGACTACATGTGAAGATATAAAAAGCAATGGCTAAGCTTTTAGAACACTTCTGGTTATGGTGGAAAAGTAAGATCATCTCTACTATCTTAGGACCCATCTCTTGGTTATGATTGAAGCTCTATATATTTTTAGCTGCTTTATATTCTCAGATTTTCTTTTCTACTCTTTGGATTTTTTTTTTTTTTGATAAAGACTCAGTGGCTTTTGTGTTTTCCTAAAATATGAACAGTTGATGGCTTTGCAATCTTTGTCTATTGTTTCTCAACGTTTGATTTGGCTACGATGGCAAGCGTTGTGTATCCGAGTTGATAATTGGCTAATAGACAGGTTATATGATAATGTATCAAATTGGGCCAAATTATGCATTTTTTAAAATCAAAATAGAAATGGTAGAGCTATAGGTACAATTATCTAATCTTTGTTAATTTTTTTTGTATTGTCTTTTATCAAATGTTTCCATGAATATGGGTTTGAATGTTTTAGTTGATTTTAAACGAGCAAAAGGAGGAAGCTTTGAAATTTGATGCTTTCACATAAAATTGAGTAACGCGAACCGAGAAGGAAATCTGAAGATGATGGAACATGTACAAACAGTCCCCCCTTATTTACAAAAGTATAAAAAAAATAGTGTTTGAGACATTTTTAAGATAATAAAGATGTACATACAAACATTTTAAAGCAAAACCATTGAAACCACATTTTGGATGTGTTCGGGAGAAACCGGCCTGCAAGCATATCTATGATTTAGTTTGAACCTAAAGACTTTAGTTGTAATGAAAAGGGAGCAGTAGCTATGACTTGGACAAGAAGCCAAAGACGAACAGTGGAAACTAATAAAGCTTCGGAGTATTCCACAAAACCAAAAACAAAGCTTCGGAGTTACGCTTAGAACGAAACTTTACATGTTATGGTTTCGGGCCTTGAGAGATTACGGGCTTTGGCCCAAACCTCCTGGTATTAAAAAAATTGACACTTTTTTTTTTTTTAACAAATCTCAGTTATAAATTGATCACTTAAATAGCCCAAATCTAAAACGACACCATTGAGTATTGAAACAAATGAAACACAACAAACCCTAAAGCTTAAAAATGAAATATGCTACCACCGCCGTCAAAAACCTTCTTCGTCTCTGAAAATGGCGTCACCTTCTCCGTCTCCAGCCACCGTCACACATAGAGGGTTTGTTACTCACAAGCACTATTTTTCAATTCACAATATTCAGTTGTATCGGATTTGAGAAGTTCGATAGTGGGGAAAATTAGTTTGAATCTGAAATTTCTATGAAATTAATATATAGATCTTGTATCATCGGAAACATTTCGTGGTTCTTAAAACGTTTCCCAAGTACAGAGTGTTTTTTTTTTTGGTTAATTATTGTGTTAGTTAGATCTTTCACTTTGAGATGAATTCAAAAGTCACAACCGTGCCCTAATTCGAAGTTTATTGTTTTTGTAGATATCAATAGCCGTGTAAAAAGGCAATGGACCCGAGTTTCGCTGACCTACCATCAAGCCTCATAGAGACAATAGTCTCACATCTTGTCTTAAAAGATAACATACGAGCTTCCGCGGCTTGTAAGTCATGGTATGAAGCTGCTAGAACTGTTCGGGTAGTCGATAAGCATCCATGGCTAATGTGTTTTCCCAAACGTGGCAACTTGTTTGAACTCCGCGATCCGTTACAGTGGAAACTGTACACTTTGGATCTGCCAGAGTTAGCTGAATCAACTGTGTGTTACTCAAAAGACGGCTGGTTACTTATGCGTAAAGATACATCAAAAGAAGTGTTCTTTTTCAATCCGTTTTCTCGGGATCTCATAAGTTTGCCAAAGTGTGAGCTTGCTTTTTCGCAGATTGCGTTCTCTTGTCCTCCTACATCAGATAATTGTGTGTTGCTAGCGATAAAGTTTATTCCGGCAGATAAACTTGTCACTGTCAGCACTTGCCATCCTGGAGCAACTGAGTGGATTACTCAAGACTTCCCTACTTTTATAAAACCGTTTTACATGCTAAGCAACCTTGTCTATCGCAGAGATCGATTCTATTGCTTTAACGCAGAAGGAATTTTGTATAACTTTGAACCATTTCACCGCACATGGAACTACATTTGTGCGGATAAACTCAGATGCCCGTATATCCATAAAATGCACTATGTGTTGAATGAGATAGCAGTTGCCTTGGTAGAGAAGAAAGGAGAGCTCTTTGTTATGTTTACATGCAGCAACCAGAAGCCAATGGTGTATAAACTATTCTCTTTGGAGTGGAAGGAGATGACTAGGACAACACTTGATGGCTTGACAATCTTTGTCAGTTTTTATAACTCTGAGTTGAGAATTAATCTCCCATGGATGAGGAACAATGTCTATTTCTCGAGGTTTGGTTACAATCGCAAACATTGTGTATCCTACTCGTTTGATGAAAGCAGGTACAATCCGCGTAAGGAATGGGATAAATGGGTAGAACTCTGTCCTCCTCAAAGCCTATGGATCGATACGCCGAAGAACTTCTTTTGAAACGTTTTCATAACAAGTCATGTACAATTGTGTTTTTGTTTACCATAACCGGTTGCGGCTTTCGTAAAAGTCTTTTTCTTGTTAAGTTGACATTGAACTGTTTATGATTATTCTCTCTTGCGATTGTTGAGGGAGACAAATGTTTACATTCTCGTCAGGCCTTCAAACATTGCAGGGTATAGACTCGTTTCAGCTTTGCGGGTCATTAGCTTCTGGCCTAACTAATCGAGGCAGGTTGCGGCCAACAGGTTATATCCACTGTATGATCTCTTAGTCACCAAAGTTTTCAACCGAATTCCGGTCACCGGAGGCGAAAGATCTTTTGTTAGTTTAATGAGAGGACCTAGCTATATCCAAATTGTGTTCGAACTCAGCAAGAAGACGCATGTGCTCTGATTTATGCAACTGTGGCTCCACTAAGGATCACATATTGAATTCTCATAATTCTCTGGTTTATGCTCTCCTGTTGTTTATTTCTTTTTTGGACAAGGTAGCAAATAGCAATTGTATAGGTCTAATTTTTTGTAATCCCCAATTTTCATTGCCAATCTTTATTTTTGGTATAAAACAAATTATATAATTTCTCTATGTTTCACAAAAAGTGTTATTCTACACTTTTGCACATATATTAAAAAAACTATTAAAAGTTTTACTATAAAGTTTATTAAAACACGAAATAAAATTATCTTTCTTATTAATATATTAAGAAAAGAAGATTAAAATGAACTTTTATTTAAAATTCTGTATTGGAAATACAAAACAACATTCTGAAACGAAAATAAAACCTTAAAACGATATTCTTGTGAAACAGAATGAGTATATATCTTGGACAAGTTTTACATAAATCACATTTCAACGGACATATAGGTGTTGTTTACTTTTTAAAAGTGGTGGATCTGGGAAACAGCATCAGAATTTTTGTCTGAAATAATAAAGCTGATATTAAAACAAATAAAATAAAATAATATTTATGAAAAGATGGTAAAACATGCAAAAGCTATTAAAAAGCCAAAAAGAAGACATGTGACCACCATATCCCCTTTCTACATATTTCTATGGTAGAAAGATAGACACTAATCTATGCTATATAATAATATATCCTCCAATCATAGTGGTCTCTACTAGTATTGTTGTATCAGAATTTAAATTCAAATTTGGTAGTGTGAGAATTGTGTAAACTATATAAAGAAAAAAAGACAGAAAGAAAGAAAACCATATACAACCTTCTAAATTATAAGAGAATTTAATCGGATAAATTAAATTTTCCCTACACTCTAAATCTTAAATCACCGGTGATCACCTAATATAAACTAATTACCTTTGTATATATAAGAAGTCTTTAATTTCATATACCCTAAGGGGAAAATTGATCTAAAAATCAATTTGGTAGGTTACACTATTTTTATTTATCTTTGTATTTAAAAAGGTTAAACCGAAGCGGATAAAAAAAAACAAAAAATCTTGTCCGCTTCTAAAATTTTAAGTTAACATTCTATGGGAAAGAAATCGAAAAATTATATGTATTAGAATCACTTTAATTCAGTCAGCCTATTATTCCTTTTAATCATATCTAAATCAAAACCCATTTTGAGATGTTTTAGAATGTCTTTTCTCTTTTGTAAACAATATCTGAAAAAAAAATACAAATAAATGAAGCTCTCCTATAAATAACACCACACTCATGTATATAATACACACACATATGTCTTTTAATTGAAACGCACCACAAATAGAACAAATAACCCCACACACACACCAATGGAGCCAAAGCTAACCCATCTTTGCTATTGCCTTCTACTTTTTCTTCCACTACTCTCCCAATCCACCATAGCCAAACCTTCATCATCACCAAACCCTAGCAACAGCATCAACTTCATTGTCTCATCATGCCGTGTCACGCGTTACCAAACTCTCTGCGTCAAATGCCTCGCCACTTTCGCCAACAAAATCCGCCGCAACGAAAACCGGTTAACTCAAACCGCTTTAGCCGTTACTCTAGTCCGGGTGCAGTCCACAACGGTCTACGTAGCGAAGCTGACTAAATCTAGGAGAATCAAACGGAGAGAGTACTTAGCCGTGAAGGATTGTGTTGAGAATCTTGGAGACGGTTTAGAGATGTTGGCTCAGTCGATGAGGGAGTTGAGACAAGTTGGTGGATCCGGTCGTGATCGAGACGAGTTCTTGTGGAGGCTAAGTAACGTTGAGACATGGGTTAGTGCTGCCTTAACGGATGAGACAACGTGTCTTGATGGGTTCGATGGAAAGGTTATGGACGGTGTGGTGAAATCGGCGATTAGAAGACGAGTGGTTCATGTGGCTCGAGTTACTAGTAATGCTTTGGCTCTTGTAAACCGGTTCGCGGCTCGGCATAAGTCATAGTTTCGGGTAATAAATTAAAATCCGGTCCTAATTAATTAGGTTTTGTCATGTATTGTTTTTTTCCTAGTGGGATCGTTTGTTTCTTTATGATACTTTGTATTTATGTGTTGGCTTGTGATGTTTTTGGGTTTATGGAAAAAAGAATTGGCCACAAAATTTGGATGTCCTCCCACATTTTAATATTTTTTTTTTTTTACAGCAATATTATTTTATTTTTTATATATGAAATTTTCATATTTAATATCATACAATTTTTTTAATATTAATGTAAGTCACTTAGCTTACCGTTGATTAATTGAAATATCTTATATTTTTAATGTAATTAGTAATCATTTATTTAGTTTTAAGAAATTTGAATATGTGATTTCTGAATCTCTTTTTGTCAAAAAATTTGGTTTTCCACTTATGTTTTCCTGATTTAATTATATCTTTATTTTATTTTCTAATTGCTTTCATTTCCTTATTTTAAATTGTAAACAACTATCATTAGTTCATTATATAAAAATAATTTGAAATACCTTTGCAAAACATTTGATATAGCAATATTTCTTCTATATTCAATTGTTGAATACCCCCTCCTTAGTTTATAGAGAATATCAATAAATTTTTAGATTAAAATGAAAAAAAAAAACACAAATTTTAATATTATCTCCGTAATCTTCGGACCGGCTCCGACTATACACCCGATGAATTATGGATTCAGGCGAATCCTTTTATATTATTATTCACCTTTGAGTCAATAATTGAAGTCGGAGTGTTAGATGGAGTTGTTCAAATATACTTTTGGACCTACGCAGAAAAGTCTATCAGATTATAGGATAAACCTAAATTGTATCGTCCCGGAGATACTTCAAATGAATGTATATGCCAAGCATTATAAATTATTGAAAACTGTTCACACAATAATAATCTTTACCATTTCGAATCACTCGAATAACCAATGATGTTTTTTTTTCCATACATATACACTTTTTTCTTTTTAATAACTCAGGTGGTCCAAAAAAAGTTTTTTAGTCCTAAAAACTAATCCTAGGACCCGGGTAAACCATGTTAAATTGCTCGAACCCAGGTGACCAATGCTACTCGAATCCAAGTGGCGGGCATACATATACACTTTTTCTTAGCATACATACACACCTTACAAAAAAGAGTATTTATAAGATTTAAATAATCTTTTTTTTCTATTACCGCGAAGTTTGAAACATGATCTCCTAATCTCAACGAATCCGAAGTCATCAGCTTTAAATCTATTCTCTTTGGAAATATCCTTTTTTTCCAAATAGACTCGGAACTAAAGATCTCTTTACTAGTGTTTTTGTTCTCTTTCAATAAACCCACTAGAGTAAGAGCTACTTTACTTTACGATTTGAATAATCTTATTATGAATCTGCGTTACCTCTTTCCACATAAGCTCCATTTACTTTGGTAGTTTGGAGCAGGTGGGCAAATCTTATCACTTGTTTAAAGCTAAACACTAAGTACTCTTTTAAACTAAACCTTCGGATTGTTAGCTTTTGGGAAAAGACAACTCCAAGAAGGAACGGTGAAGAGTGATCATGGAAACAAATTAGGTACAATTATGGAAAAAAAAAAATTGAGCTTTTTGCCACAACAACAAAACATGCTAGTATTATTGTTTAAGATTGTTTAATACATCAAATTCTTTTATGTTCTCCTAGAAAGCATTTTGCATAATTTCTTAGTCAGCATAACGTGCAATGCACGTGAGGCCTCTGCCTAAAAAGACTTGTTAAAGACATTATTCCTCTGTAAAAGGGACAAGTAGAAAAACAAGATTTTACAGCTTTTGACTTTAAATTTATAAATCTTCTTTTGAAGATTCTTTCGAAATAGTTTGTAGAAGTAGCATATAAAATCAGGAGAAAACTAAGAGAACACATACTTGATTTATTCTACAATAACTCATCAAACATGAACCAACAAACCAAATCAGAGTTTCAGTTTAACAAAAGGCCAAAAGAAGAACACAGTGAAAATTTGGAAACATCTTTGGTTTAATCCGATATAAAACTCCGGTTTAGCATAGCCAATTTACCGGACCTGAACAATACCGGCACTAACCAGCTTCTGAATCTTGTTCATTACCATTGGATTCTTCATATGTTCCTGTGCAGCTTTTGGATTCTCTTGAAAATCCACCAATACCTGCAAAATTCATCAAAACAACATCATCACACAAGTCTCAGACAAAACTTAAGAACACAATTGTTGCCACTGATTTTACCTGTCTCATTACTGGATCTGACAATATGTTCTGAACTTCAGGATCTTGCATTGCCTTTGCTTGTCTCTCCTTCAATTCTTCTGGTGTCAGATCACCGCGGTTCGCTTTGTTTATCTGTTCCACGCATCTGAAAGATAACAATACTTTCACTAAAGTGATCTTTCAAGGTTTACCAACAAAGAGAGAGAATGCAAACTTTGCAAACCTTCTAACACCATCAAGCAACTCCTGGTTCTTAGCATCATGTTTTAGCCCTTCTTGATACGTCTCCATGGCTTTATCGTATTCTTTCATGAAAAACTGAATAGCTCCTTTCCTACTGTATCCTTTAGTGAAACTTGGGTCCAGCTCAATGCATTTTTCGGCATCTTTTAATCCCTCTGGTAATGCTCCTAACTTTGTGTAACAAGCAGCTCTGTTGCTATATGCCTACAGACCGGAAAATATACTCGCTAAGATTCTATACTCTGAAACTATGTGCTTAACTCAACAGGAAACAGAAAAGTTCTTACCCTCACGTCACTCGGGTTTCTTTTAATTGCTTCTGAATAATGTTTCACTGCCTCTGGATACTTCTGCTCTTTAAAGAATCCATTACCTGCATCGAAGGAGGAATGTCAAATGCTTAATCCTTATATCAAATCACGTTTCAAGATATTAAGTGTATAACTAAGGATCAGTATATACCTTTCTCTCGCTCCTCCTCGGCTATCGTAGGATCAAAGTACTCTTGTTGCTCCAGCTCTTTCTTGGCTTTCTCAGCATCGTTAAGTTTCTTCAAGGTATCTGGATTACGATGCTCTGTAAGAGCTTTTTGGAAAGTCTCAATCGCGGGCTCAAAGTCTTTCGAACATTTCGCCATTTTCACCAGAGCAGATCCTTTCCTAGTCAGAGCTCTTGCTATCATCTTGAAGTCAGAACGGAGCTCTCTGCCTCGTTCAACAGCCTTGTCGCAGTCTTCAATACACTCCTCGTACTGATAATCATTTAAAAAAAATCACATTTGAGAAACGCAATAAAACATCACACAAGATACAGGTAAGATCCAGATGAACCAAATGTTGATCAAACTGGACTAATAATGCAGAAACACATAGACCAATGGATTTGAATCACTCGGTATAAGACTGCTTTATTCAGAACAAGTGAATAAACTTCTCTATCTCCAACACCAACAAGTAGATCAAAACACATCATGAAGACATGAACCCTAAATTACTACCTCATCTAAATTCAACCAGAAACCAAGTATAAGACTTTCAGAACAAGTGAAAGCTTAAATCCAAACCTCTCAATCTCCAACAAGAAGCGGATGAAAGTCATCATAACCCATCAAGGTCATCACAGATACACTATGTAGTGACACGCTATACCAAACAAACAAGTTACTTCAAGAACCCTATATCTCCTCCTTAATCTAAAGTACCTAAAGGTTTAACTTTTAAGTCAAGTATAAGACTTATCCAGAAGAACACAGAACAAAACCAAATTTGCAAAGAAAGTAAAGCAAATACCTTTCCCATCTCAAGATAAACAGCAGCACGATTTGTCAAATACGAAATATCCTCATCATCAAGCTCCATCGCCTTACTATAACATTCAATAGCTCTCTCAAAATCCTTCTTCTTATAAGCAACATTTCCTTGCTCTTTCTCCTTCAAAGCCTTCTCCTTTCTCTCCTTCTTCTCCCTCTCCTCCTCCGTCAACTCCATAGGTTCCACCTCCACCTCCATCTCCGGTTTAGGCTCTTTCCTCACATCAGCATCCTTCATCTCAGTATCTCCACCACTAGATCCACCAAACTTAACATTCAACAAAACCCCTAAAGCCTGCATAACTCTCTTATCCTTCATATACAAATTAAGATTATTAGGGTTCCTCTGAATCTCTTGCATCGTCTTAACAAAATCAGGCTCCTTCAAATAAACCCTAGTCCCCGGATCCGCCGTCAATTTCGCCCACATCTCCTCTCCTTGAAACGCATCAATAAAAGGATTCGACTTTGACGAAACCCTAGATCTCGACGCATCAGCTAATCCAGATTTAAGCGTCTCGTTACTCGGATCAATCTCTAATCCTTTCTTATACGCATCAATAGCTTCTTCAAACTTAGACAATCCAATAAACGCAGCTCCTAATCGGCTATATCCTTTAGACCAATCAGGTTTAAGTTCCACAGTCTTCTTCGCGTCGGATAAAGCTTCTTCGTAACGGTGGAGAGAAGCGTAAGCGGCGGATCGATTTGAATAGAGGACGTGATTGGTCGGAGAGAGATTGATTGCTTCTGTGAAATGGGTTATTGCGGTGGCGTAATCGCCGGAAGAGAAAGCGGCGTTTCCTTTGGATTTTGCTTCTTCCGCCATTGAATTGGATTTGGTTTGTTTGCATATTGAAGATTGTGATGACAATGGTGGAAATTTAAAAACAGAGAAGAGGAAGAAGAAGAAGGAACGAGAGAGTTCTGGAAATTTCGAATTTTGTGTGTTGTGTCGAGAATGTTCGTCATAGCCGTGGAAAATATTTAAATAAAATAAAAAAAGTGAAAAGAAACGCTAGAGAGAGGGGTCGAACCTCTGACCTTGTGGTTAACAGCCACACGCTCTAACCAACTGAGCTACTCCAGCTTTTTGATTTGGGTAACGTTATTTGTTTATTCGTACAGTATTTTAAGATTAGTCTTTTAACTCTTACGTGTAAGGAAAACCAAATCATCTATTGCAAATTAATTAAATCTCTTATGCTGTTTGTTTGTCTAAATTGTTTTTAATAGATTTTTGAATTCTGGGAAAATGTTTATTCATATGTGACAACTAATTATCTCATTTTTTTTCTCAATATAGATTCGATATATAACTCAGATTTCAAGAATTCAAAAGACAGAAACATCAACAATGTATTCAAAACCTTAACAACAGCGGAAGCGTTTTACATTGATAAACCCAAAAACATAGAGACATCCTCAAACTAAATCAAAGAGATTAAAGAGATGCCACGAACGATAAATTCTCATCTTTTTGTTGTGAGAAGGAGATGTGAGAGTAACTGAGCTTCCTAATTCAAAATCCCCTTAGTTCAGTTGAAACCCTTCGCATATTACTCATCTCAGCTTATTGTCCGCAAGATTGTAGAGGACGATGTTTAACTCCAAAAGAGATGACAAGTACCTTGGGGCAAAAATTATCTCGCCAATGTTGGTGGTGCCAAGAAAGGACCAAATGTATTTGCTCGAGTCAGAAAAAAATTTGTTAAACAAACACATAAGCATATATTGTTTACAATGTTTAATCAAAATTTTGGTTTGAGTTTTCTTTTTTTTTTCTTTAAGAAAAAAAAAGTACATGATTTCTCCAAAACCACTGTTAGTTGTAACCAAAGTGGTAAACTACAATAGTACAATCTAAACAGCAAAATACAAATCACATGAAAGAGCAAATTTAGCAAGTGCATCCGCACATTTGTTCCTACCTCTTCCTCTAATTTTTAACATATTGGTTTAGTTTCTTACAATATGATTTGAATTTGTATTCAAATTTGAGAAAAAATTTTTGATAAACCCAATTTGAGAAATTTTGAAAAATACCACCTTTATGATACCACTTTTCAAAATACCATAAAAAAAAAGTTGCTCAAAATTATTTCTTGTAAAGTCTTCTACACACTATAAAACATTATGAAATCTTACACATATTTGATATCATGCGTTATAAAATACTTTATAAACGTTTTTATAATATGCTCTATAGAAGTTTTAAGAAAATTATATGTTTGCATTTTGTGTTACTCTGAAAATTGACAAAAAACAGTTGTATTTTTTAAAATGATAATCATAAAAGTAATTTTTAGAAAATTCTTCGGATATATTTTGGATATAGAAATAAGTAACTTCATTAACATTATATATTAAACTATTAATATTGATTGTTTCAGTTCGTTTGGGGTAATTAGAGTGAATCAGTTTCAGATTGAACACCAATACACCATCACTCACCATATTTGATATATTAAAACATTAGTATTCAAAAATACTGATAGCCCAAAAGAATTTCAATTTTGTTCTAATTTATAAAATTACACACACAAATCTAGACTCTCTAGTATTACATCACTCAATATTTCTTTGAAATTATGAATCGGTATTCATTGTATAACATATAGGAAAAAAAAAACAACTAATATTCACAAATCTCTATTTCTTTTTTTTAATACTCTTTGGACCTTTGACTATTTATTTTAATTCAAATTATATAATCTTGTACGAAGTTTTCCTACGGCAATGATCCCATGCGGCGATCCTCATCTGAACTTTCTCAAAATCCGAAACCCGACACGGTATCGTGATCCGACCCGGTTGATCAAACCCATGAACCCGCTCCGCTTGCTCCAACAATTCTCCAAACAATGGATGATTAAAGTAAATCACCGGCACCACAACTCGCCGCGTGTCACCGTCTGATTCGCCGACGTGAACCACCAAATGTCCTCTCGGTACAACCCGGTTCGACTTTTTCGGATCTTTACCCAACCGGATCTGATTCTGACCCGGATTCTTCTTACCACCACCGCACAATCTCTTAGCTCCACGGCTTAAACACCGTGCTAAAGACCGGATTCCGGAAACCGGGTTTGTGATTCGGGTCGGGCATTGACGTTTTCTTGGTAGAATCATCCATTTAAAGATTTTGACAAATCTGTGTCCAATTTTGAATCCTCTGACTCTCTTCATGCTTGGTTTGATCAGATTTTGATTTTGTCTTTTTGGAGAAAACAATGAGATGGGTTTGTTTGAAATCGAGTTTCAAGAAATGGGTTTGATTCGAAAGAAATAGATTTTGAGAAAATTTTGGTTCTTTTTTGGTATCTAGCTCTCTGTGTGTGTTATGTTTTAAGGGTTGAAGAAGAAGAGTGTTTGGGTTTGGGGAAGGAGGTAACCTCTTATATAGCCTTTGAGCTATGACTGTTATTATGTGTGCGTGTGCTTTTTTGAGACTTTGATGGATAGTTTTCCAAATTCAGCTTTGTATTTTTTGTTATATTTTCGTATAACTTTATCATCTTTTTAAAATTTAGGGAAAAGAGCATTCATTTTTTTGGCTAATTTTTATTTTCTTTTTTTTATTCAACATTCAACTTACAATCCAAAATCATTAAAATATTATGACGGAATATATATATATATTAGAATATGAGATTCTGATATATATATTCTTTTGTTACCAACGATATTCATCAAATTTTTACGCTAAAGAAAATTGATTATGTACTGTCAAACCTTAACACATCTTATTAAAAAGCTAAAGACTATAATGTAAAAGCTAAGCTTTGATCATATTCAGTGGGAACGGACTACCTCAACACTTCATGGCTTATGTAATCAAGTTTGCACATACGGTAGCTAGAAAAGGGTCTCATGAAATTGCCTATTACTCATGTTTTTTTTTTTTGGCTCTCATAATAAATTCATTGTGATAATATTTCTTTAACTTCAAATTAATAAAGTATAACATTTGCGTAAAAATATTTGATTAACGTGTTATCTTCAAAAGAAAATAAAGAAAAATCATTCATCTACCATAACCAGAATTTTAGTATTTCTTGATTATCTTGGATAAAGTACTCTATTCAGATGTAGTGTTTTAGTTTTCTTAATTATCAATCCACTATTTTACTAAGCATCGTCTTAGACCTTGAATGTTATTCGTGAACCAAAATGATTCTGCAATATTTTACTAATCAGATTATTGCGGAACGTAGCTTTATGTCCAGCATACTGTGATTGCGCAAGCTTAATTAGTTACCATCATCAATCTACCACATCGAATAACTTGAAAACTTCATAAAGATGCTTACCATTTATAAAAAAAATAATCCCGAAGTTTCTTATTTAATTTGACATGTCATAATCATTAAAATTCAACCACTAGTTGAAATCTTATTATTATATTTTGATTCAAAGAAATAAAGTTATGATTATGTTGAGTTACTAACATGTTTCTTGTTGTAATTTAAGTATCTAGATGATTCGATTTGATTTTTGATAATATACTCCATGATAGGTTTAGTATGTCGTCGGTCCTTATGAATAATACATAGCATATGTATATGTAATATGTGTCTCTATGTACATGAACTCACTTGTTATTAGTTCAGATTTTTTTTTTGCTTTTTGCCTTTTTCTATATAACTAGGTCAGATTTAATAATGGTTTTGATAAGACAACTTGGAACAATGCATCTATAAATAAATATTGTACAGATAGAGTTCAGATATGTAGATTAAATAAATGAATTTCACAAATGTTTATATGGTTAAAAATGAAAGTTTGAATAATAAGAATTATATAAAGAAGAGAGATCGATGAAGACAAAAGGCATGCAAATGTGTGGGAGGGACATAGTGTGGGATTTGGTCGGCGGTCGACACGGCTCGTGCAATCTTTGTAACATGCCCTGATTCACTGAAACTGCTTCGTTCAGTTTAAGAATTATTGTGTTGCATAATTATTACTTATAGTCATAGACTAGTTCAATTATTATTAACATTTTTTTTATGTTGGAAAATGGGTTAATACTTATTACTTCTTTGACACGTTTTTTTTCTTCTGTGTCTAATTCATACTATATTATACTGTAAGTCTAGACATCAACATTAGGGAGAGTTTGAGTTGTTATTTTTTTTAACTGCGATTACAAATTATGTTTGACAACTGTAAATGGCTAAACTAACAATGATATATCAAGTGTCAATAGCTCAACTGGTAGAGTATTTTAGACAAAGCGTAGAGATCGCTAGTTCGATTGACATTTGAGAAAAAATCATATTAAATACTTAGGTCTTTGGTATGCGAGAAAAACCTCCTTATTAGTAATTAAAAAAAAAAAAAAAAAACTAACATGCATTTTTGAACTCATATTGTTTTTGGTTGTATGTTTAACTCTATTCGTGTATGATCATTATCCATGCATTTTTGTTTCCTTTCTCTCGAGATCAATATTACATTCTTTTGTAAAAAAACTTTGCAAATTGTGAAAAAGCAGAAACTATAATGCGTAGAGAATAAGAGAGTTTAATGAATGGTCAAGGCATTACTATAAACCACACACGTTTCATATACAACACACACTTTTCTAGATTTTCTTCTCTTTTCATCATCCACTATTTCAAAAGAAAACGATACTCCAATTGACACGATTTACATTCTCATAGAACAATTGAAAACGTGTTCAATATATTTGGATAGGAAAAAAGGGAAAAAGAAGAAAGAAATTCGAAGCCTTTATAGAAGGGAAGGATAGAAACTAACATTTTTATGTACTTTTGTTTACCTAATATTGAAACCATACATTCGTCATCTCTTCCTATCTATCTTCCCATGTTATTTAAACGTAAATTTCATACTCTATAAATATTTGAATCCTGTTCACACTTCACACACATGTGACGTCGTAAAAGAATCCAATATACAAGAGCAATAGATTTTGTAAGAAAATTAACAATTAGTATCTTCTACTCATTGCTTAAACAAACTTGGCTTGACTACTAATGTATATATTTATATATACATTTTCGGAGTACATTTATAAAATAAATCCTAGAGTTTGAAAGTATTTACGGAGGAATGCCATTGGTATTAATTGTTTAGATTTGTTTTATTTAAGTAAAGATTTTTAATTTCGATTTGTTACTTAAATAGTTGCCAAAAATCTGCAAAAATATTTTGTGGAGAAAAATTAGAGAATGGATTATGTTGGAGTTAGTAATTGTGAACACATATATTCGGTAAGTTAGAAAGATTAGTTTCGATATTTATGGAACACTTATTTCTTAATCTATATATACATTTTTGGAACACTTTTAGCAAATAAATCCTGGAGTTCCACCTTATTTACGAGTATATGCCATTGGCATTTATTATTTATTTTTACAAAATTTTAATAAAAGATATTAACCAAACAATATATTGTCTAATTTGTTTCTAAAAATCTCTACACAATCTTTCCATATATCTTCAAAAAACATTTATAGCAAATATTTATATTAACATTTTGCATAGCAATAAAAATAATAATTTATAATAATCAAAATATTCACATAAAAAAACCATATACACATACAGGAAAAAAAACTATATCTATCATCATTTAAGCCGTTGTTTTATTTAAATAAAAAAAAAATACAAAAACTTGAAATCATATACTTTATATGATAAATTTAAAATATATATTAGTAATATAAATTTAAAATCATTCAAACAACGGTATACCACGGGTGAGATCATAAAATTATTGATATTTTATTTTATTTTATTGGATTTTATAACACTAATAATTTAACTAACATGATAATATAGACGAGTTTATATGAGATGACGGGTTTGGGTCGATATGAAATCCTAAAATTAACAATCAAAATACAATTATACAATCTTAAACACAGAACAAAAAAAAAAATATATTAACAAAACAAATACAACTTAAATTTCAAATTTTTAGTTATAAAAAAACCGACCCACGGTATACTGCGGAGTAAAATATTCAAAATTTTAAAATCCACCATACATCGTTACTTAAAAAAAATGTATGTTTTCGTATCTATACTTCAAAAATTGAAAGCTAAACAATAGTAATCATACACTAAATAATACATAGATAGATATCTACATTTAAAAATATAAATTATTATGATATATCTTCAGTTAATCTTTAAAAAAAACATTACATTTTTAAAAATATATAGCCCTGCGGTGTACCGCGGGTTAAATTCTAGTTATATATTATTTTGGTATCTTAGTTAACAGTTTCAATATTTAGTGATTTATAAGCAGGAGACAAAACCCCGCTATAATGTTGATCAAATAATTAGACATAAATATACAGATAATTAGATGTCAAACAAATATGTATGTATACAGAATTACAGAGAATTAATTATAAATGATCATATGCTAATTGTATTCTCAATTTACCCGCCAACAGAGAGAATAAAAATCTTTTAAGAATAAATATGCAATCTTGTAAGCCATGATATCACAACCGTAATCTCTAACCAGGTTACCAAATCTAATACATGTGACATGACAACTATAATTATAATGTCTCTATTAACATGTTTATAGTTATTACCATTTTTAATCATTTAATTCATATTACCCAATTTTTTTGTGTTAAGCCGACCAAGTAGCTCGGCGCAAAAACTATTACATATATATAGTAGTTTTGTAGAATAAGCGATTTTTTTTTCACAAGAGGAAATTGGGTAATAACGTGATGAATGCGACTCGAGCCAAACTCAAGTGGCAATCAACTCTATAATTGTAGAACAAAAGATAAATAAGAACAGCTAACAAAAGTCAGCGTCAGATTTGTTTGTGGACAAGAGGACAATACAAATAAATAAATGTTTTGGCATCTTCCAAGTTCTAGTAATTTTGTTGTTAATCCACCTATCACGGATCTTAATGTATTGTTGCTATAATCTTTTTGTTTAACCCTTTTTAAATAAATAAATTAGAATAACTAACCACCAATTAACTACTTAAATAGACTAATAGAATATTTTTTAGTTAATTATTGGTCTAACAAAAAATAAAAATAACCCTAGTCATTAGATACCACTAATCAATCATTAGTAATATACGTCGTTATTTCTAATGTTTGCTAATTTTGTAGTTACGCTTCAAGTAAATGACAATGCTAAAGATATACAATAGTGAACGAGTATACCATTTTCACCTTTTTACGTTTTACATACGTGATTATGTAATTTTTTTATTACCATTTAAAAATAATGAAAATTTTCTTAAAATTATTAAATTTTTTCTTATATATATGACATCAGGTATTTATTGGTAGCTTAATTTGGATGTGAACATACTCTTCAACAAAAACATTTTCCTTAAGCCCAATTTCA